CTGGCAAAAGTTGGTTTAGACAACTCTCTAGGGAGATTAATCAAGAAAAAATGAGAAGGCAAACACAAATAAAAGAAGGGCCTAACTATGGCTCTAGAAGAAAAAATTTAATAAAAGAATGTTCTGGACTCTTTTTTTTTTTTTTGAGACAGTCTCACTCAGTACTGCAGGTTGGCCTTCAACACACGCAGAGATCCTCCTGCTTCGGTCTCTTGAGTGCTGGGATTACATCACTTACATTAAATTACAGGTATGTGCCATCACGCCCCACTCATGTTCTGAACAATTTTATTCTAATTAAATTGAAAATGAATGAACAAATATTAGAAAAATAAAACTTACCACCCCAGAACAAGAAGTAGAAAAAAGAGTTAGAAAAGCCAAGGGCCAGGGATTTAGCTCAGCGGTTCAGTGGCCTGCCTTGCAAGCACAAGGACCCAAGTTCAATCCCCAGGACCCAAAAAAAAAAAAGCCTAAATGCTCCTATATTAATTGAAGAATTAAGTCAATAACTTTAAAACTTTTCACAAAGAAAATATCTAACTTTCCAGTACAGATAATTAAAGTATATTCTTTTAAATGCTCAAGGAATAGTTTATTTCAACTGTATACAAACTCCCAAAGAACAGTAGGAAAGAAGTTGATTCCCAATCATTTTAGGAAGCCAGTATAGCTTTTGCGTAAAACTAAGCAGTATAAGAAAAGAAAATTATCCATAAATACAGCAATTAAAATTCTAAACAAAAATATTAAAAACTATAGCCAGGAATTTTTTAAAAATTAATTAATGATGGTTAGGTTGAATTTATTAATGATGATTTAACATTAGAAAAATAAATGTCATGTATCACATTGATCCAAGGAGAAATCCACAAAATCATTTCAAAATAGACAAAAATTAAATGTACAGGAGAGATATTTTGAGGGTGAGAAATATTCTAAAATTGGGTTGTGGTGATAGTTGAACAACTCTATATACTTACTAAAAATCCTTGAATTGTATCTTTTAACAGAGTGAATTTTATGGTGTATAAACTATATCTCAATAAAGCTTTTTGAAAAGATACAGAAATAGTAGTTGCTAAAATTCAATAACCATTCATGTTTAAAAAGAAAAACAAAATTCAGAAAACATAGGTAGAAGTAAACTTTTCTAACTTGATAAAGGATATATACTGAGTGTATATTATGCCCACAGTTAGTCCAGGCTGGTTTAGATTATAAAGGTAGAATTTTTTTTTAATTGGTGTCAAGCCGGGGATTTAGCTCAGTGGTTCTGCCGCCTGCCTCACAAGCACAAAGACCTGAGTTCGATCCCCGGTGCCATAAATAAATAAATAAATAAAATTGGTGTCAAAGCAAGGATATTTACTACCACAACTTCTATTTAGCAGTAGAGGGGAGGCCTAGCCAGGACATCAAGAAAAGAAAATATAAAAAGATGCAAAGTTAGGAAAGAAAGAAAACTGTCATTATTTACAAATGATACAATTTTGTATATAGAACATACAAATTCTTAGAGAATTTAGAAAGTTGGATGACATAGGATCAAAAGGCAATCACATTTTCTTATACAAATGACAAATATTTAGGGAGTATAATGTTTAAATTGATTCTAGCAACAAAAAATAAAAGTAAAAATAAATCTATGTGTACAAAACGGTATGGATATTATAAAATGTTATTAAATATCTTTTAAAATACTTAAATGACACGATATAACATGCTCATATTTACTATCATAAAAATTTAATGCAGTCAATTAAAATCTTATCAGGATTTTTTCAGGAATTTTACAAGCTGTTTCTGAACTTTATAAAGACAAAAGCCAGGCATGGTGGCACATGCCTATAATCCCAACACTCGGGAGGCTGAGGCAGGAGGAGTGCCATCAGTTTGAGGCCAGCCTGGGCTACGTAGTGAGTTCAATTTAGCATGACTGTCTTGTGGAAGAAGAGGAGGAGAGGAAGAGGAAGAGAAGAGGGGGAAATGTCCCAAGAAATAGCCAAAATACACTTGAAGAAGAAGAAGGGTATTTTTTCTTTTTTGAGACAGGATCTTGCTATCTAGTTCAGGTTGGTCTTGAACTTACTATGTATCCCAGGCTGGCCTTGAACTTTTGGTGCTCCTCCTGCCTCAACCTCCCAAGTGTTAGGACTACTGGTGTGAGCCCCACACCCAGCAGAAGGGAATTTTTTGCCCAATGAGATGTTAAGAGTTATTGCAAACCTATAGAAATTCATGAAGCATTGTATTGATAGAGATAAATTAGCTAATGAAATAAAAAAAGAAATAGACCCACATATATAGGAAAAAAATGCAATAAAGATTATTGAAATAAAACTACTGAAAAAGATATATCAGGCTTGGGATAGCATCACAAATCTGTGGCTATTCAATGGAAAACTGGTTATCTGTATATTGTTAAAATAAAATGAATATCCAGCTCACACCAAACCCAAAGAATCAAGTCCTGACAGGTTAAATAAAGTAAAACTGTACAGCTTTTAAAAGAAAGTAGAAAACATTATCTCCATTATCTGAGAGTACAGATGGATTTCTTCAGTCACAAAAAGCACTAACCATAAAAGAAGAGATTAATAAATTCAACCATGCTTAAATTAAGAACTTCTGTTCATGAAAGATATTGTAAGGAAAATTAAAGATAGAAGCCACAAGCTCAGAGATTTGCAACATGTAACTGATTAGTATATAGAATGCATAAAGAACTATAATTCTCTGGGCTAAAATTGAACACACATGTGTTTTGATCCCCTTCTGAAACCCCTCTAAAACTACAGTAAGTGGATACTTAAGACAAACTCACAAGGAGGGTGAGAAAGAAAGGACAATGGAAAGAAAATTTGGAAGCTGGAAAGATTGATAGATAAGCAGTAACTGATGTAGCAGGTCTGAAAACGCAGAATTCAAAGCCAGAAATGGGAACCCAAGACATAATTCAATTTAAAAACACTAGAATTTCCTGATGGTTCAGGAATTGGTAATCCTAGGCTTCTCTGGAATTGAAGATGGGGCAGGACCAAGGCTAAAGCAAGGATTATTTGAAAGCCATTTAAGAAGCAGTTAAATCCATTAATCCCCTCTTCTATTCCATGCCAGAGGTGACTGTCTGCCTCCATCTCTGCAAAATTCACAAAGCTTATTTTCTGGCAAGGATCTCAGGACTGGGAGGGCAGATTACACACCTGGAAACAGGTGAACCTCCACATACTCCCAACAGCTCTCTGCACAGGCAGCTAGGACTTTACCTTCAAGCCAAAGACTGAAGAGTCTTTTATAAATAACCTGATCAGCTCAAGAGGAAATATATATGGATACTCACCTTAGAGTTTGTAAAAAGTAGTCTAACCCAAGCCAGGGATTTAGTTCAGTAGTTCTGCCGCCTGCCTCATAAGTGCAAGGACTAGAGTTCAATCCCTGGTAGCCCCCAAAAAATAAATAAATAAAAATAAATGCAGTCTAATGAGATCATCCTGCAGTGATACTCATAGCTGACAAAACCCACTCATAGTTCAAAGTCTTCAAGAAGCTCTTTTAGCTAGGTGTTATGCCGCACACTTATAATCCCAGCACCTTGGAGGCTGAGGCCAGAGGATCACAAGTTGGAGTCTAGCCTGGGCAATTTAGTGAATTAGTGAGACCAAGTGTGAAATTTTTAAAAAACAGCTGAGGATGTATCTCAGTGTGAAAGCCCTGGATTCAATCCCCAGTACAAAAATAAACATCTGGGTGTGGTGGTGCACCCCTATAATGCCAGCCCTTAACTGCCACCAGTTCAAGGCCAGGCTGAGTTACATAGTGAGACCCATCTAAAAAAGAAAGAAAAGTGTCCTACTTTTTTTAGTGTCCTACTCATGAACATGAGAAGACTGCAGACATCTGAGGAAAGCCTCTAATGGAAAAATTGATGTTATTCTAAATGACCTTTTCTAGAGTTATGAGTGTGCGTATGTATTTCTGAGTGCTTAGTGCATAGGTAGGGATACTTGTTTATATGGACATGCATGTATTTATGTGTGTAACTGGGTTCATAGGGGTGAGTGTGTAAAGTTCAGGGAAGTGCCAAGTCATGGTACTTGCACCCACATATGCCATATTCTGTCCCCCACCCACATGGGAATGTGAGTGTACCAGATCTGTCCAAAGAACAATATCCGCTGGGCACTGATGATTCCAGAAGCCCCTTAATGGAGAGGGTTTCCAGGTGCCTAGAGAGTTCAGCCCTGGACACAAGAAGCCTCTGCCCTTAAGATCATAAAGGGCAGGTGGGTGATCCTAGATGCCTTTTCAGGCCAACCACCTGCAGGTACCTGTGCGCCTACAACTTACTTGGCATTCTGCCTTCAGCTAATGATGAGAGAGCCGCAGAGGGAAGTCTTTTTCTCGGTAATGGGCTGGGTTGAGGTGAGTTGAATTTGGCCTTTCCTGAGGCTCCAGGCTGTGCTCCGGCCTACTGGCTTTATTGAAGGAGACTCCCAGGCAGTCTGCAGTCCCTAAGAAAGAGGACAGGACCACTCCACTCTGGCCGTCAAGAACTCTCTCCCAATCAGGAAATGACAGAAATAAGGATAGAAAACAACTCTGGCTGAGGGCAAGAGCTTGACTCTAAGTCCCAGCCTTAGATAGGAAAATTGGGGGGGGGGGTCAAACAAGAAGACTGCAGCCAGGCATGGTGGCACTCGGGAGGCTGAGGCAGGAGAATCACCATGAGTTCAAGGTCAGCCTGGACTACATAGTGACCTCAAAGCCAGCCTGCACTACAAAGCAAGACCTTGTCTCAAAAACCTTAAAAAAAAAAAAGAAAGAAAGAAAGAAAAAGAAACTGTGAAGAGGAATCAAAGCTGGCATGAGAATCCCTCTGGCATACAGAATGGGGTTGGACCAGGCTGACCTTTTCAAAGTGGACTAGATTTAAGCCCAGAAAGACCCCAGATCTGGGGTCCCTATGCATGTAGCCACTTCTCTCTCCTTTTACCCAGGGCCTGACTCAAACCATGAAGCGCCATACAGATCCTGAAGCCCTACAGAAGATGGCCAAATGTGCTGTACAGGACTACAGCTATAAGAGTTCTATGTCAGGCCACCCCTACTTGCCTGAGAGGTACTGGCTCTCTCAAGAGGAAGGTAGGGCCTCATCCTTCAACCATCTCTGCCCCCAGCAGTGACCCCAACAGTGTTCCCTAATCTGAACCTCTGCCCATGATCCAGGCCTTTTCCCTAACCATCATCCATTCCAGTTCGACTTCCAGCCACCTATCCCAACTGGCTCTGGGGAGATGACCAAGCCCCTGACTTTAGAGAGGCCCCTCTGATAAAGAACTGAAAGAGCTCTGGGCTCCATCCTAAGAGAGAAGGAGAGTATGTTAACCTCCCCCAAACAAACCCCTCGAAGTATATTCAGATGCCATCTCCTTCCATTTTCCAAGCAACCCTTTCCCATTAGCTCTCTCCATCTCTCCTGTATCCCTTCATCCCACCACACAGCTTTCCTTAGCCTGAAACATTTTATAATTTCTTCTTGTCAAAATTTCTATCTTGTCCCTCTCTTTTATAGCCAAGATTCCTGAAACATAATCTATACTTATCATCTCTACTTCCTTACCCCTTTATATGCTTTATGACAATTGTCTTTCTCCTTAGCTCTTTTTTTTCACATTTACTCTTTGTGTCTGTCTGTTTGCTTGTTTGTTTGTTGAAACAGGGTCTTTATATGTAGTTCAGGCTGGCCTTGAACTCAAAATGTAGCTCAGGCTGGTCTTCTGCTCAGTGTGATTCTCCTGCCTCAGTCTCCCAAATGCTGGGATCACAGGTGCGCGCCACCAGGCCCAGCTCTTTGGCTCCTTATGATCTGTTTCCCTGACCATTCCAAAAGAACAGAATATTGTCTTATTTAAAGACAATACTTCTATAAAGTGTGTCTCCTCCACTGAAGAGCTTCTTAAGTACCAGTCTTCACAAATATTTGGTGAATGAATTGACTGAGTTGAAGTCAAGAGTTTGTGTCTCTCACAATCAAACACTAAAACTGTACTTGAGGGGCTGGGGATGTAGCTCAGTGGTGCCATGCCTGCCTGGCAAGCACATGGTCCCGAGTTCAATCCCTGCTACCAAAAAAAAAAAAAAAAAGACTATATAAAAATGGACTTGTATGGTTGTGATTACCATATTCATAAGATTCGTTGTACTTTTCCCTCTGAACTCTACCTTAAGCATTTTAACATTTCACTCTTCTGACCACTAGTCCATAAGACTACTTCCTTCCTCACTTCTCCAATGTCTCACTTTGTTGGGTGTCTTATGCAATCTACCCTCTGTGGAAACAGGTTCCTTGAGGCCCTCTTCTCTCTTTGCTCCTCCTCCAAAGCCATTTTATCTTGACTTTAATTCTTGATAGTTCCAAGTCTTTATTTGAAATCTTGAATTCACACCAGAATTTCACTCTCGCCAGGCATGGTGGCACTTGGGAAGCTGAGGCAGGAGGATTGCCATGAGTTCAAGGCCAGGCTGGGCTCCATAGTGAGTTCAAGACCAGTCTGAGCTACATAGTGAGATCCTCTCAAAAACAAAACAAACAAACAAACAAAAACCCAAGTTCGATCCCCAGTACCAAAAAAAAAATTCTACTCTCTTTTATCTGATTACAATCATCTCTACCTAGATGTGTCCAAGACCATTGAGCTCAGTGTGTATAACCCACCAATTCAGAACTGCAAATCCTGACATTCCACCCCCTCCTCTTACCTACACACTCTCCTTTAGGGTGTCTTTCGTCCTGTATCTCACACGAGTTCTTTCAAACTATTGGGGAGTAGATCATGAAGAGCATTGTAGGCTTAGAAAACGGGGCTATGTTAAAGCTTTTTAACTAGGGAAATGTCTTGGTCAAATTTTCACTTGTGGAAATAGCACCACAGCTTCAACGTTGAGATTGGACTGTATAATTTCAAAGACAAGGCAAAGAGACCAGCAGGCTAACCATGATAGTGTTTTATGTGCCAAGAATTGCTCTTAATGTTTTATTGTTTAAATTTCACAACAATCCTATGATAATACTATTACCCATATTTTAAAGTTGAGGAAACTGAGACAAAAATTTTAAGTAGCTTGGTCAAAATCACACAGTTATTAATTGGCAGAACTGAAAATTAAACCCAGGAAATCTACATGCAGAGTTTATTCTGTTAACTGTGGCATTATATTGCCTCCTGGACAAGACAACGTAACAACTGCCTTATATGCTAAAACAGCTATATCTTCTCTGTGGTTATGGCGGTACATAAATAAGACAGATCATGGAGGATGAAAGATGGGACAGACTGAAGTGAGTTTTAGGAGACAGAATAAGCAAACCTCAGATTCTGGATGTGGAAGATGAGTGGGAGGAGAGAGGGAAACAGAAAGAATGAATTGAGAGGAGGCCCAAGGTTGGTAATTTAAAGAGGATAGAGCCAGGATGAAAAGTGATGAGCAGGGGCCGGGGATATATATAGCTCAGCAGTACTGAGCTAGGGGGCCCTGAGTTCCATTCCCGGTACCAAAAAAAAAAAA